TTATTTATTTTCTTGTCTATTGTTAGAAAATTTTAGATACTGTAAAATTATTAGAAATAAATGTGATATTTCTGTTTTAGTAAAATTGTGAGATTTCTTTCTACTGTTTTTGAATATTTAGACATTGTAAATTTCATGTGCAAATGACTGCCTTATTATTTGAAAACTGATATTTTTGCAATTGATTATAGCATTGTCTGTGAAATGTTCATTTGCGAATTGACATCCCATAAATTGTGATAATTCTGTATTCTTGAATTTCTATATGAGTTTTTCTATACATATTAGAATGGCAATTATGCTAGAATATCTTTACGAACTACTACCTTTCTAAATTTGAGCCCAAAATATTTGACTGCTTATTTTTTAAATGTTATTGAAAGTGACTGTTATTAATGGTTTCAGTGAAATTCATATTAATAATTTCAGTGATATGTTGAGTGCATGATATTGTTGCTTTAAGTAGGCAAGTGGACTCATCCGGTTCACCGGTGAGGTATAAGTGGACCTATCCCGTACGCCGGTAGGGATTAAGTTGACTCATCCGGTACGTCAGTGAGGTATAAGTGGACCTGCAGGGATTAAGTAGACCTATCTGGGACGCCGATAGAGATTAAGTTGACCCATCAGAATGCTGATGGGGTATATAGGTGACCTACTTGGGACGCCAGTAGGGTAATATGTGAAATCCTTTGAATTATGCACTGCCGTTAAAATATTATATGCATTTCAATTATTCGGATTGTACTTAATTATGCATTTTTTAAAGTGAAACTGTTAATGCATTACTGTTAATAGATCTCCTTTTTGAAAATATTGATATCTTTCAATCATGATTATTTTTAGGATTATGATGATCACTTACTAAGTAGCCAAACTCATCAAACTATGGTAAACATTTTTTTCAGGATAACTGCGGTTTCATTTTGAGTGCTTGTCAAGATCAACTCTGGAAGATATTGTAGTTGTGATTAAACTTTCTTTTGTTACTTTGTAAGAAATCGCCATTGTAAATTTGTCCTAAAAAGATATGTATATATGTTTTGATTGTCACATCTTAGGAATATCTGTATTGTAAATTCTTGAGGCGTGACAACCTTGGTCCGCGCTGCATGACCTTAAACTGCACAGCCTTGGTCAGTGTTGTATGACCTTTAACTGCATAGCATTGGTCTAGATGCACGACCTTAAATGGCACGGTCCAAACTATACGACCATAAATTGTAGCAATGGTCTAGCTGCACGACCTAAACTGCACGGTCCAAGCTATATGACTTTAAACTATAGTACACATCCTAGCTGCATGATGTTAAAAGGCTCAACACCACAGTCCAAACTATACGACCATAAACTGTAGCGGAGGCCTAGTTGCATGACCATAAAATGCATGGTCTTAGTTGCATGACTTCAAACTGCATCACCATGGTCCAAGCTATATGACCCGAAACCATAATGCACATCTTGGTCGCATGACGATAAACTGCTATGCACAAGTCCATGAGGCATGACCTTAAACTTGCCCCCACATACGCGCACATACCTTTTACGTGCATTTTCACGCACGTCTTCCCTAACCGACACATTCGTGTAAGTTGACCACCTTCATTACCTCCCCAGTGAGTGTATTCATTTCATAATCCTTCATCATTCCCCAGTGAGTTTCACCCGCGCTCACAAAACAGCGAACAATCCAGCCACCCATACTCGTCATAAGCTAGTGGGTCGCCACGTTTAACTTGCCATTCATACATCATCCATTTTTCATAGGTAGCCTCGTGCCATCTCCCCAAAGTGAGCTAAAACCACCACCATACTCACTCCATAGTCTCCACAGACTTCCTTTCATCACCATCACGGTCCAGCTGTACGACCTTAAACTAGAGTGCACGTCCTGACTGCATGATGTTAAAAGGCTTCGCGCATGTCTCGAAGGCATAACCTTAAACACGCATTCACAAAAAATAACGGGCATGGTGTATACCTGGACAAGGGAATGTCATGAGTAAAAATGACGAACGGGCATGGTCACAAAACCATGAGTAAAAGAGTTCCATGAAAATAAAAAACCCGGGCACAGTGAAAACCCAAAAGGGCACCGTGAGTAAAAATTGAAGAATAAAGGTAGACATGGCCGAAAGGTCATGGGTAAAAGAACCCCAAATAAAAGGAAGTTGGTAAAAACTATCTCTACAATGCCGCTTCCCAAGTTCAAGTGAAAATTCGCAAAGGTCGCTTGGACTAATAAACAGGTTGATGCAGTGTTGACCTCAATAAACGACTTCAGCCCACATTCAAAAGAAAAATCCTTGGTGTCACAATACCAGGACCCAAAAAATAAGAGCTTCAAGGAAAAGATTTCGACAGTCTGAGCCCAATTGCAAATAGGACTCGAAGGCAAAAGATTCACCAAGAAAGAAAGACAAGTCTCATGAAGAAGAGCATCGTTCCCAGGAGGTTACGAAACACACTCCTAGATGTCCGGGATGACTTGAAAAGGCTAAGTCACCCACGAATTTGGATCCTCTATGTAACGACCTGCCAGCAGTAGGTAGGGATTATACCCAAAGCTGGTCACATTGATAAACTAAGGTACCCTACACGTCAAGGAACCAGCCATGACTTTGGACCTGCCATGTAACGACCTGCTAGCAGTGGGTAGGGGCTATACCCAAAGCTGGTCACCTCGATAAACTAAGGTACCCTACCCGCCAAAGAATAACTGGTGCACGACGCAAACAAGCGCCGACAAAAGGCTCTTCAGCAAACCATCCAGAATAAACAAGGAAATCATTCTAACAAACTAAAAGATGCCCCAAGAAGGCTAAGTCAGCCATGACTTTGGACCTGCTATGTAACGATCTGCTAGCAGTGGGTAGGGGTTATACCCAAAGCTGGTCACCTCGATAAACTGAGGGCATGACGCAGACGAGCGCCAAATAAAGGCTCTTTTGTTGTCTATCCAAGACAAAGAAACCCATATCAAATGGGAATAATGCCCTTCGACAAGGTACTCAATTTCCAGATGGGACTGATTCTAACTGACGAGGTTCGTACAAAATCCTCAGCTTCAGAATCACAAACAGTTCACACGAGGGTGAGGACTTCGATAAGATCCCTCAAGAAGGTCTCTTCTCCCCCTAAAGTCTCCACCGACGGACCTACGAACAATGCATCCCTACGTCTGAGCATCCTAGTTACATCATTGCGTATGAATTGTGATGGATTTTGATAAATCTTGATGAAAATGTTTGAGACAACCATAATGTATTTACTGATATTTGTGATTTTGCAAACTCAGTAGAATTATGCATTTTGTTCCAACCATGGTGATTTGTGCTGGGTTTTTCTCCTTCCATGATAATATCATATTCTTTTGAGAAGATAGTGGATACTGGATAATAATATGGTTGGAAACATGGTGCTTTTCTATTCTGTGCTTTTCTAGACTAAATTAGGCAACACTCTAGGAAATAAACTTTGACAATAGATTGGTATTAGTGGCTTCTTATAATGTTTGGTGACTGATTACTTAAAATGTTTCTTATTATTGGGATATTTGTTTTAGGAAAACTTACGCAATGCCTATAGGAAAAAATAAATAGTAATTTTGCCTATGCTCATCACTGTCCAAAGTTCATCGTACGGTCACAGTTATCTAGTAGTGTTTCATTTTTCATTTTTCATTTTTTTTTCTACAAATCAGAATGAAATGAAATTTAGAACATAAGTTCATAAATAATAGAAGAATCTAATAAATAAAACAAATCATTCATAATATATATTAACCAAAATACCCCTGAAAATTTATGGGGGTATTTTAGTTAATTTATATTGTATGAAATAGTATTTCATATTTTTTTTAGGTGCACCTCACTAAGATATACACACGCTCCAAATTTCAGATCATTCCGATTTATAAAAAAAATTAAAATTGAAATACAATTGAACAATCGTAACCATGCGATGAACTTTAGACGGTGATGAGCATAGGTGAAATCACTGTTCATTTTCGCCTATAGGCATTGGGAAGACTTTTTAAAAGTTTTAATTATTTTGCAGCTTATTTTTTTCGGTGTTTCAAAAAGCGCTACATAGCACCTAAGAGGTCGGGGGTTCAGGCCACCCAGCGCCTAGGCAGGTATAGTAGATTTTTTTTTTTTCTCTCTCTAAAATAGGCTCTAACTAAAACCCACAATTTTGCACCTTTAGCATTAAAAAAATGAGCCAAAAATACCCTCAACCATGGGAATTTCTTCTCCTGGGTGCATTTATGCTCCTGGGCGAAGCGGCCCCCTGAGCATTTCTGCCCCTAAACGGAGCGAGTTCCTGAGCACCCAAAGATATCCGCTTTTTTTGGACGCTTATGCCAGAGCGATGCACCCGGCCGCCCAGGCCCAGAACCACCTCACGGTCGTCCACATGTTAGGCGATGCGCTTTTGAAACACTTTTTTTTTTTTCTAGGTAATCAAGGATGAGTAGTAAGGGGAGGATATTGGAGGTTATGGACTTATGGTGCTTCTATGGCTAAGAAGGCTCGACGTCAATCTATGATAAATGCTCTTCTTGATGATCCAATTCTCACTTATGTGAATTCTTGGGGATGTGCTTACAACTCACATTTCTATTGAAGTACAAAGTTTATATAGAGCCGAGGCTCTCAACAATCAAATTAGAGTTCACCTTAAAAATTGCATTAGAAGAGGTTGTTTTGATGTTCAAATATCCTCAAATTGATCATCTCAACATCAAGATTCATGGATATGAGAAAAAATTGGATATCTCAACATCAAGATGCATGAATATGAGCAAAAATTGAATTTCTACGTTTTAAAATAGTGCATCTTGTAACATATTTTTTAACCTTCAATTTTCAAGTTTTTATAGATCTTTTCGTTCTAGGCTATTTTATAAATTTTAAATTTCATAATTAAAAATAAAAAAATATTTTAAAACTATCCCAAACATTTCCATTATTGAAACCGCTATTTGAAGACTGAAGAGGAATCGCTGGGATCAGTTTTTAGAGAGACAGAGACAGGAGCGCCCACAAAATACTTGAACAACTTTGTCTCCTCGAGGAGAGAGACAGTTACAGGGGCGCCACAAAGTACTTGAAACAAATTTGGCTCCTCGAGGATCCTGCTTTTTCATGGAATCGTCCTCCAATATCTCTCATGGGTAATCTATTTCTTTTCTTTTTTCTTTAATATTGATATCTATATGTTTGGTTAATTCATCATTGGCAAAGAGCTTGAAAATTCGTTGCTTTAATGGTTGAAATTCGCTTAACATGGGTGATTGAAGAGGGAGAAAGAACAAGGGACCCCCTTTCAAGTTCTTGGTACCCCTCATTTATGCTCCCGTTCTTCCTCTCAGTGAGTTTACTCTCTCTCTCTCTCT